TTAGAGAGATAGATCTGTTAATGCTTGTTTAAACGACATTTAAAGTAGTATTCAGCTCTTAATATACTTTTAAATATTATAAAAAATTAATTAAATATAGTTTTAACTGAAATGATTTTTACAAAATATATTTCCGTTAAGTTTATCCGGTCTCACAATAAGTCAGATTTCCTATATACATCATAAAGGATGGAAATAGTTAATTTTTGGTTTTCTCGTAAAACCTGGCTGTCAATCTTTTTTAATGATTGGTTTATAACATCTGTCTACCTTATCTTAATTTAATGAATAAACGGAGGCACGCTTCACCTCTTAAAATTTGCATACAATGTTCATATGCTCGTAAAATCGTAAGTTAATTTTAACCAATAATAAACAATTACTACTGGACTGTTTCCCTTTTTATATATAATGAATTATTATAGGAAATTCCAATGACAGTAAGACGATTGGATTCTATTAATTCAAATGACATCTGTTGCAAACAGCTGTTTTCTTATCGCAACATCTGATTACGATATATAACAGAAGTTATTAGTAGGTATGTCTTTAAAAAATCGGATGTGTAACTCAATGTAAATACCCAAGGTCAGATATTTTTATTAACTAACATTTTCTCGTAAAATTTTTAATTGCAAAACACTTTTCGTATGATTTATCAAAATATACACAAACAATATAATGATAGTGAAATCTTAAAGAAAATACTTTAAGTCTAATCTATAAAAATCTTATCTCATTGACGTTTAATCTTCAATGAGATTAGATTTGAAATAATAATATTTAAAATTAATAAAATTAAATTTTGTAAATTAGAAGGATGAATCGTCTTAAAAACGCTTTTGTTTCTCTGTTTTTTTATATATAAATTTATGGAATAAATTTTAAGTGAATGGGTATAAACTGTGTTTAAACTTTATATCTAAATTTAATTTAAAATTTAAACATACAATTAACATAGTGACAGATCTTATAAACTCATTTTTTAAATATTTAAAATTAAAAAATTGAGTACAAGTTGATGATAAATTATATAGAATTTGTAGCATTTTGAGAAAAATTCTAAGTAAAGAATTATGTTCTCTATTAAAGTTTTAAAGTGTCGTTAACAACGTTTTTACAAAGCAACTGCGACGATCTTTGCTGGAGTCGATCATGTATAAAATATATCTATTAGTTCGCATTAAACGAGTTTCCGTTTAAATATTAAAGAAGAAAACATCGAAGCTTATTTTTCGACCTTATAAAAGCAGAAGCGTTGCTTAAAGAAGGAAAAAAAAGGAGAAATGCATTTGATAAGGGGACGCGAGTGTATCATTTCAGCGCATCTTTGTGACGGATGATGGCACGTGATTTCCAGCGATGGACATCGTGCCCACGTCGTTTCATCACACTACGAACCATTAACCCGGCACACATCTGCCGACTTCTTCCCTCTCGACTGCTAATCAAATCAAGGAGATGAGTAATAGCTGTGTCTGTGTTGTGTATGGGGATTTCGAGTAATTCAGTTAGCTCGCCATGCAATAATATATCTGTTTTTTTCATCCTTTCTTGATTCCTAATGCATTCTGATTCACTGAATTACGTTCTACCGTGTACAGAAAAAAGAGAAATTGAGAAGCAAAATGACTTTCTCTTAGAAAAGTAACGATATGCCAGTTCCTGGGCCTCCAATGGCAGGGGACTTCCACTCTCTGTGGGACTGGCTGAGCCTCCTTACGGGCGTGTTGCTCTGACGTCATTGTAAGGAGCAAAAACAGAAATGGCGCAGGATGTAATAGGTTTGAATCTGAAACTTGGTGCTTCTCTTCTTATTGTAATTAATGTAATTAAATATTTTAAAAATCAAAATAGCCGTGTTCACGTGAAATACTCATTCAAAATAAAGTAAAATTCGTTATCTTAAAAAATACTGATATTTAAATATTATAATATTGTTTTATTGACATTGATCTAAGTATTATATGAAATTCATCCTATTCAGCCTATGGGCTAAGATAAATCAAGATTCAGTTAATGATCTAACATCAATATATGAGTAAACATTTAGAATATTCAAATATACTGTATAGTGAATAAAAAATTTATTGATATGAAATTATATAAGCTAGGCTTGTGAACCGAAATCCTAAATAAGATATAAATCTCACTGAATTTTATTTTTAAAATATTTTTTAAGAAAATAAAACTGATGAGAATTAGTCATAAAATTTGAGAAAGATGACTTTATATGAAAAGTTGAATGGTATGGCTTTAAGCTATTAAGCTTCAAATTTTAAGCTTCTAATCTTAATTTAATAAAAATTATTAACTATCGGATATCAAGAGCTTTTAATCGAATTAAATCTATGAGAAATTCAACTTATTAAGTCAGTAATAGACTTTTCAATTGGTTTAAAGAAAATAGTAGCTGAATTTTATTAAATTATAAATGATTTATCACAGTTCAATTTTAAAATGTTGGCCTAAATAATTTGTTGGGATAATGTGAATTTTTAAAGAAATCTTTTCGTTAATATATATATCAATTTTTACAGTTTACAAATATTCTTAAACAAATTATCTTTACGTACCAACACTTGTAGCAGTGAAAACATAATTCACAACATTGAAAACTTAAATTAAGAATATTTAAATAATTTATATATATAAGTAATTTAAATATACGCCCCGACGTTAAGAAATTTTCATACATTAAAATATTCTTATTATATTATTATATCTTGATTTCAAATTATTTCTCTTGAACTTAATATTAGGTTTTATGCCTAGATGAATTAAGTCTTTAGTTGTATTGTAGGGTAAATGGAATGGAAAATCTTGAATTATAACAGTGTAAATTTATTATTTATATGGTTAAAAATCTAGGATTAATGTGATAAAAATATAGATCGAAACATAAAAGTTTAGTGTTGATTGATTCAGATAAATATTACTAATTAGTTTGATAAACTAGGTTTATCCTTTATAAAGTAAGATCAAGAGAAAAGTTTTAATTCTCATAAAGCTTAGAGGATATTAACTAATGATAAATGATTCATTTATCAAAATTCATATACTCAAAGCTAAGAAATTACTTTATAGATCATGCGACAGTAAGACGAAGAATGTAAGTTTCGTATACGTTTAGAAAATAAATATAAAAAAGATCTTAAAGTGTACAATAGTACTTAAATGTCGAGTAGAATGTATGGAAAGTGGAACTAAGCTATCGGGTTAGCCTATGTCTAGGTTGTAAAATGTTTATGGTCCTACGTCATGGATCGTAAAGATGACGTCACGAGGTTTAGTGGTCTCTACGTCGGCAGTTAAAATTGGAACAGATGGACAGTGCATGGCAATGAGACAGCTGAGTGTGACGTAATAACACTTCCTTGTTTATATTGTTAGATGCTTGTCGGAATCTCGTTTGAGCAACCAGTTTAAGAAAATTTATCTACAAGTGTTTTCTAAAAATAATCATTAATATTAAATAATGATTCATTAATATTGGCAACCTCACGCGTAATTTAATTGCTTCTTGTTTGGTTTTGAATTTATTATCTATAATGATAAATTTACTCCATTATTATTATTTATATTATTTTTTTTCATTAAAAACTTTGTTTATTATTTTATTTCTGAATTTTTATATGGATATAGGCTAAGTTACAGTACTTTGTGATCCTTGCAGAGAACATGGCCTTAACAGCAATAATTATTAAATAAATATTTTTAGTCGAAATTTTAAATATACGTTTGAAAAAAGTTTCCATGTAATTAATTAATTAAAAACAGCATAGCATTCGCTTTTTTAAATCAAATTTCTTGTGTATTTCAATGTCTTTAGCTTAGCTGTAAAGCATATTTAAGTTCACAGAAAAAATTAGTTTTGAAATTTATTCACAATTATTAGTACAGTACATTCCCATAATCTAGTCAGTATACAACTTTTTATTATTTATTAAAATAATAAACTTCAGAGTTGTTAAATTTTTAATTACTGAGCTAAACTTATTCGTAAAATTTCCCTATTTTTAATGAGATGTTTACATGTTTTGATGCAATATAAGATCTATTATTAATGTTTTTTATTTTAATTTTATTGAATAAATAAATACATTTACCGAAAATAAATTAGAAGTTCTATCGAAAAAATTAATTCGAATCTATCGGAAAAATATATCGTTAGTATTTCTTAATGTGCGTTAAGTTTATAAAAAAATCGTAAAATTTATTATTTTAAGAAACGTAATTTATACATTTAAACACGTATTTAACATGCGCATTTAAGAATATAATAAAAATAAACCTTTAAATATAGAAATATCATATACTACGTCACAGAAATTCTAGACCTAAATATAAATTAGCTTGTTGACAAATTTTCTTCAATATTTTTTCCTCCTTTTAATGTTTCATTTTTTAAAATTAAAAATGTCTTTCTTTCTTACCTATTCTCTTAATAATTTATACAAGTGGGAGTGTTTCGTTAAATTTGTAGATGATTTGTTGACTATATTAAAATTTTTAATTTATCGGTTCAGATCAATAATAAAAATATTTATTTTTATCTTTTATATAAATAAAACAGTCTTGAACTTATATTGATTATATGATCACAAGACGAAATATCACTGGCATAAGAAACAGGTGTTACCAATTGATTTTGACTAATAAGTGACAGTAAATATATTGTAGACAGGGTCTTACTAGTAATAAAATATTCTTTGATTTTCATAATTCTATAGATGTGAATCCTATTTGAGATATATAAATATTAAATTATTAATATATATGAAACTTCTCAGTGAAAAACATTTCTCTTTAATAAACAGCATTTTGTTAGATCTGTAGGCCTATAGACAGAAATATGATTTTCGGCTCCGATACGCATTAAATTACTTAAAATACTAGTTGTTAAGCTATTATAATGAATAAATTTTTATTATAGTTAATTAAATATTTAAAATAATTCAAATTTTTTAAAATTTATTGCATAAATTTTGTTTTATTAGGACCAAATGGATGTCCCCGTAGAAGAGGACGACAAACTTATACCCGATTCCAAACCTTGGAACTGGAAAAGGAATTTCACTTCAATCATTATCTGACACGGAGGAGAAGGATAGAAATCGCTCATGCTCTCTGTCTAACGGAGCGGCAGATCAAGATATGGTTTCAAAATCGGAGAATGAAGCTGAAGAAGGAGCTGAGAGCCGTCAAGGAAATAAACGAACAAGCACGACTGGAGGCCAAACTGAAAGAGCAAGACGACGACAAACAGAGCAAGAAGTCTTCTCTGGATCAACCGCAGGCACAAAACAAAGAACAAGCTATAGATAGTTCGGATGCGGGAGCGGCCGACCGAGGGAGTAGTCCAGGTGCGGCCATTGTAGTTAGTCGCTCTGTCAATAGAATGCCCAACGAAGAAACGTCTTCTTCGGGGAAGTCTCCAGATTTTGTCAACGCTCAACAACCTTAGATATAAGTTGACGGTTTACCGACGACCATCGATTCGTATTTGCTAAGCTAGCCATTAAGGACTGGACTTTCGATATAAATATAAATATATATATATATAAAAGGACGGTTGGAATTTGTGCTGACTTTTGTTTGAAAATCGTTTATTTGGTTCTCCTCAACTGACCCCAAGAATGGGTCTTTTATATTATAATACAGGGAAATTGATCAACCTACTTTCATTTTTGAAAGTTTTTTGTTTTTTTTTAATTTTACTTACGTCGATAGCAGTATTGTAATTAATCGCAGTTATTTAGGAAATTATATTTTTAATTTAAAAGTCTTTTAATTTTTAAAATCATTAATTCCATTTGTAACTCAAATTATGTTATTCCAGTTTGGGGCTTCCCATCTGTTAATTAGGCGATTGAATCTAAAATCGTCTCATCCTCATGTTTTGTACAAATATACAAATGTGTGTTGTTCTGTATAATCCTTCGTTATGTAATTAAGAACTAGTATATATATTTTTCCCCTTTGATTTTAATATTTTGGCTATATCTGATGGTAACGATAGCCTTTTGTTTGTTTTTTTTTCAAAGAAAAATCAGGGTTTTTAATATGGCGTATGCTTGTTTGCTGTTTACGCACAGGGTCTTTTTTTCTTATTTTAAAATTAGTTGTTTTTAAACTGTTTTTTCCTTTTATATTTTCGCTTTTCTTGTGATAAAATAAATAATTCTAATTGTTATGGTTAGAGAAGGTTTTGGATTTAACTTTTAATGGTCTGAAGGACTTGAATATTTTTGCTTTGTGTTTTGTTTCATGTTTTTAATATGGGAAAACGGCAATCATCATTCTCGTTAATGAAAATATATTTCGAATTGCTTCGAAATTAAAATAAAGATTAATAAAGTAATAAGGATAATAATCATGTTTTTGTTTTGTTTTGCAACATATTCTATGAGTTTAATAGAAAATGTATGCTTGTTGGTTATTCTATAATGTTAATATTTGGAAAATTGGCAATAGGTCTTCCGAAATCATTGCCAAATATAGGCCTAAATGGTGCCATATAGTATGTTGAGCCAACATGATTCGAGTCAATTGTGCCATACCTGCAAGTATTTCTTAACATTACAACAATCTTTGTTGCTTCTTACTAAAGATAGGATATTAACTTCTGATTATAGATCTAATAGGGCATTGTTTTATTTGATTTTTATTCAAACTCAAATGAAATATAAAAAAGAAACTTTGTTATGTGCAATAAATCATATCAGTTTTCGAACAATTTGCATATGATTTACGTTGAAGTTGCCGTTTCCTCTCTAAACAAAGAAAAACTTAGTATCCATATAAAGTGCACGTGTATCTGTCTCTCTCTTAATCTCTTATTATACATGTATGTGTACATATGCATATATAGATGTATATATGGATATGTATGCCTAACACGTAAATACACGTACAATATATATTCCATAGCGTGAATGTTCATCCTCGCCCTAATCTAATCCGAAAAAGAATGTCTGGTGTCATCGTCCGCTGTAGATCGAGTTCAATGTCATAAAATCGTAAGCAAATAGACGTTTCTTAAATAAAAAAAAAAAATTACTACTGCAAACGGGGTATTGTATTTTGCCCAGACGTACAGTAGGCTAAATGTATCCAGAATTCGTACTATGAAAGCGTTTGATGTGATCTGACGTCACGGGCTCCAAACTGATGTTAGGTCGAAGCAGTACAAGTTCCACTATAATTTATTTCATCTTTAAATATCTCATTGATCAACGTTGCGATTATTTCAGATGATGTGATTTATCTTCCAATTTCATTTTTTTCATAAGCTTTGACTCGGTTAGAAGATTTTTAAAATTTGAGGAATGTTTTTCTTCTAACTAAAAATCATAACTTTCCAAATATAGAGTTTGGTTGGGTAAGATTTTGTTTATGTTTAAATTTCTTAGTTATGGTATGAAGGTTTTAAACCACGTATAAAGCATCAAAATATGAAATTTTATGCAATAAATTACAATTTAATCTATTTATATAAGAGTGCAATGGAATGAAAGTTTTGACATTTTAACCACGTTTTAGAGGAAATGGTCCTTTTTAATTTATGTTCTCGGCTATAGTATTAATGTAAAATTGGTAACGTGACGTCATAACACAGCACCCAATCACGTCAGTTGTTGTATGGTGACTGTAAAAATTGAAATAGTTAGGTGCTTTTACTCTTGCACGGTGACATGTCTAATTCACCAGTAATCCCTCCTCTGCTCAAAACTCCTGTACAATCTCTTACAGGTTAAATACATCTAAAAGTTCTCACGCTAATTTCGTGTCTTTGTCGATTAGATAATAGTGATTTTGTCAATCCGAGCGCCCCATTGGTGGTGTATGTTCATGTACTATACCTCTTTCGGTACTACTTGAGCCGAGCTGTAGCTTTTGGCTTTAAGTAGCCAGATATGTGACTAGAAGATCACTCGAATACCGAGACTTCGAAGTCATAGTCAAATACGTTATAATTATACGTCAGATTGCCGGATATACATGATGTGCTGAATAAACATGCTGTGAGAATAGAATGTGTGTCTAGTTTGTTTTCTTGTATCAAATCATTACATTACATTCCGATAAACGTGAAATTTATTTAAATTTTCGCTTTATAAATGTGTCGATAAATGTTAAAATCTAAAGGAAAAAAAAGAAGTTAGATTTAATATAAACATAGCAATTTACGATTTTCTTATGTGAAAATAAGTTTGAAATAATAAAAATTTTCATTTAAAATACAGAGTAGAGCCATTTTTAGTGCTTAATTAATTAATGCCTTATGCTTGAATACTAAAATTATCGGTCTACATTTATAATTATAAGCCTTTATGAAAAATTGATGATAAATATTGTTTATAAATAAATTTTATCAGTCTATGAACTTGTTTTATATGACTTAAAATTATATATAGGCCTTAACATTAGATTTACACGAACAAATAGTAACAGCTTTCTATTCATATTTTCCCATATTAGATATTAAAAAATAAAAGATTTTATTCCCTCATAAGATTCAAAACAAAAAATAAAAATGACACAGTAGTCTAGTTTTACACTATAATAAAAGACGTTTAAATAACAAACTTAAAGCATTAATATCATTTCTTTCACTTTAAACAACCTAACACGTAAAATTTTAACGTCTTTTTACAAAAAAAAAAGGAAGAAAAAATCTTTCAGACCTACAGGACAGACGGGTCTACAGATTAGATAATATATTTTTTATGATGGCTATTTAGATATAGCTAAGTAGGCCTAAGGAGAGAACTGATATTCCGTCTATTAGGTTGTGCAATTAACCAACTAGTAGGCCCGAGGACATAACTGATAAGTTCAAATTAGTTTAAAGGAAATTTTTTTAACGTTTTATTTTTATATTCAACGTTTTTATGGCGTTGTAATATTAATTTTAATTACAAGAATCATTTCTAAATCAGCAAAACAGAAATTTTCTTAATTACATTTAGATTTAAAAATTTTTTTGGAATATTTTACTAATATTAAAATATCAAGTTAAAATTAAATTTATATTTAGCAAAAATTTACATAACATAAAAAACTTATTAAATTTAATGAATAGAATTTGTTCGAAAGTAAATTGAATGAGTAGTATTGAGACTAGTTGTCAATATTTAAATTTCTGATATAAATAATCTAAAAAATTAATTGATTAAAAATTAATTCTATAATTAGGCTTTCTATAACTTGCAAAAAATGAATTCAGAATAAAGTTTTCTAATAATGAATTTTCTCAATTTATTAACCGTATAGTAATCGAGCACGTTAAGTTAATAAACCAAATTTATATTTAAAAAATTCTATAAATTACGCTAAAATTGCGTTTCAAAAATTGTATAAATTTATTTTTTAATCTTAAATTTTAAAATAAATTCCGAAATATTTTACAACCAATTTTTTTCGTTGGTTTATTCATAAATTACTTTAAAACGTGTTTCGTAATGCGAAGTAGCATTACAATTAATTTTAGCATTTATAAATTTCAAGTAAAAAGAAAAGAAAAGAAAAAACCTGTCAAGTTTTGAATTTATTATAAGTCTATACGCGAAAGATTATACTTAGATTCTTTGCAGCCTTGAGTAGGCGTATACCTTTATAACACCAGAATAAATTACAAGTCCTACAAAATATTTTAAAAATAATTTTATAAAATTTAAAAATAAAACAATAATTAAATTTTTAGTTAAATAATTGTCGAATACTTTTTATCTTTATTTCATTGGACTGAATTTTATCTGAATTCAATTTATATAGGATTTAACATATAAAATACCGATATATACAATTATTGAAAAAGTGAGATAAATTTGGTTATTTACAATCGTCGTTGTATTAATTAATAAGCAAATTTAATAAATAATTATAAATTATAAAATTCTAAATAATAGAAAATAATATTGTTTTTAATAATGCTCTATATACAGTAATGTAGTTTATCTAAGAAAAGTTTCCAATTCGATAGAATCGATCATTACAAAAGAGCTTATCACTTTAATTCGAACTATGAAAACAAGATCAAATATTAAATAAATAATTTTGAGTTTCTGCTCATAAAAATAAGATTTTTAGCCCATTGATGGGAGGTATAGGGGGCGACACTTCCCGAGCACCAAAACAAGGGACAAAAGCCTAACTTCAAGCCAACCAAAACACTTTTTAAACATGTGAATTAATTTAACATTCTCAACATCGCAACAGTTATATTTGAAAGGTTTCTCTTTAAAATTAAATTTAAATGCTTCAAGACTTTATTTAATATATATTTTATGTAAAAACTTGACTTATTAATTTGAAAAAAAATTATTAAATGTGTATAAGATATTTGTTTTATTCTAAATTATTATGAAAAATAAAATATAAAATTTTTAAAAATTTTTATTAATGCTATATTTTGTTTAATATATCCATTACTGAATAGCAAACGTGCTGATTCAGATATAAAATATTTTCTTTAAATTAATTTATTTTAAAACTGGATTTTTTTTGGAAGAATTTATAAAAATTTAGATCTTTTTAAAGTGTTTCTTTATTTTTATTACTACACTTTATATTATTATAATGCAATAAAATAGTCTAATTCGAGTACGCTTTCACGAAGATGACATATTCCTAAATTCAAAATATTATATATTTAAATTTTGAGAGTCAGATTTAGTCACAATTCGCTGGAAGTACAGTATAAAGATTTTCCATAATTTCTTTAATACTCGAAACAAATTAGACTAAATAACATAGTTGAATAATATAAATATTAGTTTAGCTATGTATACTATAACAAATTTTAGGACAATCTGTGATAACAGAATATTCCAGAAAAAAATGAAGGTCGGGATACAATTACTGTGAACTGGAAACAATAGTGCGGTAGTTGTTAGAGCCATTAGCGAAGTGAAGCGATATTTCACGTATACGTTGACATCCGCATTACAATTTGGTCGAAGTGTAATACAAAAGACACCGCCCTAGGCTTGGAAACGGACAGTATGTTATTCCGTAAGATGACTTCTGTACAACATTTTCTTTGTCTGTCTATGCTTTACGAGCTCGCCCAACCAGATACAACTTCGACAGCTGTCGACTACAAAAATTACTTTTCAGACCCTACTGGAAACGTGTGAGAATTCACGTGATAAATATTCAAGCGATCAACCGACCAATACTGTCACGTAGAAAATCAACCAATAGTTGGAAAGAAACCGAAACGAGGCTACAGTCCGAATGATCGCCATGTTACCTCTTGTCGATGTAGCAAAAGTAGAGACAACCTTCCAACAGAAAAGTTTTCCTGCTTATAAATGTAGGCCTATAGAACTACTGTATACCTATGTAAACCTCTACATAGTAGGCATAGGTCATACTAGACATTTAGGCTTCAAATATTTAAAATAGTTTAATATAACGTTATAATTAATTAATTAAACTCTTTCCTCGTTTATTTATTTTACACATATATAAATCTAAAGGTAATCATAAACAGAACACGCAGAATATAGGGCCTATATGATCTATAATAGTTCTTTATTGTAGATTTACATCGAATCTGGATATTACAGTGCATAGACTATTTAAAATTGGACAGAAATTCCAGCTCATTTGTATGATATAATAATTAGCTTATGTCCATTTAAAAATTATTATTCGATTTATAATGCCTTTTTACGATGTGAGAATAATCAGGATAATCTTTCTCGTATATCACTTTAAAAATAAAGAGAGCTTTCTTTTATAGCTTACTAAAAGTAACATTTATAGGCCTATTATAAAATATCCTTCTTTATAAAAAGAAACGTTATTTTAATTTTATGGCATTGGTGTTATCTCATTTTTTTATGGCAAAACTGTTAGTAACTTGCGAGCTTTGTGTGTGTTAAAGCGATCGATAAAATACCTTTGTTAGATTTAACTTTAAAAAAATACAAAAGAAAAAATAGTTACGTGGAAACAATCAATCATAAATTTAATTTGAAAATCAAAAATTTAATTCGTTATAGAAAATGATGAATACACGAAGAATCAAACGTGCAACAAGCTTTAAAAAATACTCTGAAATTTAATCGTCAAATTCTTCTTATTGATTTATTTAAAGTGTAGGGCTTATAGGCCTATTTGTTTTTAATTTGTTCATTAATATCCATCTTTATGATTTATTTATTTGTTAAAACATACTTTTATTTTCTTGTTTTTCATATTATTATTAGATAAAAAGAAGAAAGAAACGTATCAAGAGAGAAAATAAATTTAAATTTTATTAAAGTAAAAAGTTACAGAAGCGAGATATAAACTCAGGTTATATCTAAAGCAAGATACAAGATGTAACTATAAAATATAAATGAGTTTCTTATAAATAAATGAATTTGTTTTGTTTTCCTGCAATCCAAATTTTTACAAATTAATGATTAAATTTGAATATTTTCTGAACTTTCAAATTTTAATTTTTATTTATTCATAAGTATTCAAAAATTCATTTTATTAAGTTCTATGCAATACTTCTTTTAAGTTTTATTTTAACAAAGTTTAACACAATTGCAACTGTATATGCATTTCATTAACATCATTATTAATTCAAATAGACTAAAATAACGTAAACCAATCAAATAAAATAAATTTTGTAAACTAAAGTAAACTAAATCCAATATTGTAAGTTTATTTTAAAATTAAGTTATAAATAATAAGACAACCATAAAAAGAAAATGTTAGAGACTAGGAAAAAGATAATAAAAAAATAAATAAATAAATAAACAAATGAAACTGAATATTTAACAACCGTGTTTCAAGGCTGTATGACTCCTCGCCAGAAGCTGGTTTGTGAAGAAATGAGATTTCTTTCAAGAGGAAGAGCTCACCTGCCAGGCGACCACCTTCTTTCTTTACGTAACAAGCGTTTCCTCCAATACAGCCCAACCAGAATCCTGTCCCTAGGAAGGCGGTGACCCTAAAGGAGAAAATAAAAGAGACAGAATAAAGAAGACTTTACAAATTGTCCCGGATGGCCTCCGGGACTTTCCTAATT